TAAATCAAATCAATCAATCTATCTTTCTATCTATTTATGAGTGAATGAATGAACTGGTATAACAATTTTAGCTGTGCTTTGGGGGGAGAAATTGAGAACCATGCAAAATTTAAATTTCATGCTTCAATAGCACTGCAAATCAAATATACAATAATGTGTTAACTTATACAGACTGAGCAAATAGTCCTTCAGAGTCCAAAAGGTCTTAATAGACATATCTAAACATTATTGAATTCTGTGCTAAAAAAAAAAAAAATTACTTGAACGCCACCTGGAATACTTGACAAATAAGTCCATTGACTTTGGTTCTTCTATTCTGCTTTTGCAGCATGCCTTAAAAGCAATTACTATTCCATTACTGTTCAAGAGAAAATTTATCAGCTTGTAATTGAGAGGCAAGCGGAGTAGACAGAAGAAAATGGAGCCACCAACTATAGTTTCCAAGAAGAGGCAGACAGCAGCCTAAATGTTTAAAAAACACAACATTCATTGCACCAAACAATGATTTGGACATGTCTTCAAGTCTATTAACAAGAGAGAATAATCAGTGAAAAGCAGGTCGAGGGAGAAATAATGATGGAAAAAGACAATAGAAGAGGCAAAGGTAGAATGTCTTTTAAACCCAAATTGCTATTTCTATCCCTTTAAAATATCAAAATCCAAACAAAAACTGCTGGTCTCCAAAGAAAAGTCTTATAAAAATGAACCATAATTCAAATACTGTATACCCAGGGAGAATGAAAAAAATCTATAGTTCTAACATTTACAGCCAAAGAAAATTGGCTATAGTTTTATATACGCATTTTTATAAAATTCTCACCTTTTATCAGACCCATGGCATAACTATTGATAATATACTTTCAGAGGGGAGAAATAAAACACAAGGGGCACATATCAGGTAAAATAGTCTTTTTATGCTGCACCTAAGAGAATCTTCTAGGTTTCTTCACTTTAAAAAGGTAATTACCCTAAACAAAGTAATTGTATCAAGGGCAAAAGAAAGGTAAATCTTATGTCTCCTTTCAGTAAACATATGCAGAATTACTATCTAGGAGGAAAAGTGCCAAACATTCAGCATGTAAAGGGAGAAGCATATAGATGCTTCAGAAAAGGAGCAAGACAATTAAAATCCAGCTCCTTCACCTGCCTCGCACACAAATGGCTTGAGAGCACCCGATAAAAAATTCAAACAAGGGGACTCTTTAGTTCTCTGCTTTCCAGAAACATCTTCAAGATGCTGTCTCATTAACTGACTCTTTTCAGAAGCTCCTGAGGTGTCTCAGTTAGTCTGTCTTACAGTCTTACTTCATTACATTTAAAGTTATATATTTTTAAGTTTTTTTTTCTTGCTTGGAAAGTGCTATTTTTTAAACTTCCACTCCAATTGATTTCCAAAGGTGAAACCAATTTCACCTGAAAAGCACCTGCTTTAAACTTAGGAAAGCTTTGAAGATTTTTAGCAAGGAACAGAAATCTGATCAATAGTGTTATCAAAAATATGACTATATATAAAATCACATTTATTTGTAGTTGTGGCTTTTATTAAATCAGCTTAAATCCTTTGCAAATAAGCTTTTCCAGAGAGCCAGATCAATAGGATGCACAGACAGGTGGAATTACCTGTGATCCACAGTGCAAAACCCATTAATGGCACAGGAAGAACAGGAGTAGTTGCTGAGATACTTGAAACCTGAAAAACCCCCACCACCTTCTTCTCCAATGGACAGCCAGTTTCTGTGGCTACACTCATACTAAGCTTCATTTGCAAATGGATTTGGCTGTTAACAATGCAAATATTTCTTTCCTCGTGGCACAGCTCAGTTGAAAAGAGAGGCTGAAAATTAGTTAGCTGTATAGAGAAAAAAGCACCATTCCAGTTACCAGGGAGGACTAATTGAACACAGACTGCCTGTTGCCTCTTTAATTTAATTTGGAGACCTTTCATCCCTTACTTTCCTTCATTTGCAGCCAATACTTAGTGAGCTAATTTGTACCTGGTTCATTTTCTTCCTTTTATCTTATCTACTTTAAATCAACCATGGAAATTAAAGGCACTAGGAATAAAAGATGAAGCCTGACTTGGGACATTTTTTCCTTAAGAACTATGAATTACTTAAAAAACTAATTTGTGTGCATGCACAATGTAAAGGCCTGAGACATATGTTTCAGCCCCACGGCATCCCGGATCAGCATCTTTCCCTTCCCCTAAGGAGGTGCAGTTTTAAAATGTGTTATCTGGTCCTATCTTTCCTCCAAGAGAACAATGTCTAGACTGTAATCCACATGGAATCATTAGTCTGAGAAGGGTGTATGGTGGACCATCCCATTAATAAACTAAGGGTTTAAAGAAAAACAAAATTCTGGAAAGTGCACAAGACTAAGGGTGCATAAATTGCACTAAATCTAATGCGTTCAATGGTGCTTGCCATGCAAGGAAGAGAAAAAACTGTAACAAGGAAAACTGAATGTATCAGCATACAGAGAACAGAGGCCTAATCTGTACACAAACATTGTAGCATATCTGGGGTGGGGTTACTGGTGGAGAAAGGCACTAGTCATAAAACTATGTCTGGGAGTAATGTCCAGGGGCTACAGAACTTAAATTCTATGTGTATCATGCATATTATGCTTAAAACAACAATAAAAAACCTTCTGTTGTGTATTTTGTATACTCAGCACCTCTCCATAAAAACAGTTGCACATGCTCTTTTTTTAAGACAAATTTATCTTGATTATTAAATTTCTTCCAAATGTACAAAATTATAGTGTTTTGTAAGTTTTGCATGTTTTGATCCTTGATTTCTTATTTGTCAATACTCTCTTTCCTCGCTACCCTCTACTCTTCCTTTTATCTTATACTCCCCTACCCCATGGACCCCTACCTGCCAACCTCCCCCCCGCCAAAATACTCGATTTTTCCCTGCTGCTTAACATCCACCCCACCAACAAGCCCTCCTTTCAGCTTGGGAAGCAAAGAAAGACTGTGTTGTGAAGAGTTTCATTGTCTGTATGTGCCAACTCTTCCCCTCATCTTACACCTCACAACAGCAATAAGCTGGGAATAAATGGAATCATTCCCCCCTTCACAGTCTAGTCCACTTAAGGGTTAATTAACAGCGATATGCATTATTGCACTTCAACAAAACCACACGTTTTCACAGCTAAGGTAACTTCCAAGTTGTAAATGGGAAAAAGAAAGAGACTTTGGGGTTTAAAATTACAGTGCATTGAAATATAAAGGTGTTTGCTTCAGAGTACAGGCCACTTTTGTTGGGGGAAAGAGCACTCATGCAGGATTAAAATAAAAGCCCAGGGGCTAGCCAGATAGCTCAGTTGGTTAGAGTGGGGTGTTAAAACACCAAGTCAAGGGTTCAGATCCTTGTCAGGGCCAGTCACAAATATGAAACCAATAAATAAAAGCCCAACTTAAAAAAAAAAAAAATCAAATGATATCTCTCATCTTGTTTATAATAAAACCATATGATACAACGCAAAGCTTATTTATTTCTCTGGCGAAACGTGCAATGAAAGCCCTAGGCAGTGAAAGGACGGAGAAGAAACGATGGCGAACATTACTGTTCCTTTTATTGATGGAGAGAATTAATAGAAATGAAGCCAGCAATTACCTTTAAGAAATGGATTTTTTTTTTTATTGATGGAGAGAATTAATAGAAATGAAGCCAGCAATTACCTTTAAGAAATGGATTTTTTTAAAAAAAGCACAGAAAAATTAAACTGGAAGGATACAGAGTAGCTCTGACCTGAGGTTAAGAAAGCAAAGCTGAGAGGTTAAGATGAAAGTGTGGGGAGCAGTTAGGGTATTTGATTACTAGACACACAGATTTTACAAGTTCACAGTGTCCAGCTCATACAAGTATTTCCCGAATATCCAGTTTACTCGGGAGGGTGGTTGGGGGAATCTCTAGGAGGCGGGAGTCTAGGAATTTCAGGCGGAGGAAGGCAACGGTCCCACAGGACATCAAAGAAATCAAGATTTCGTTTATCTATAATTGTGTACAGGGAAGAAAACCATGCAACTCGGTCTCATTTGCAGACTGCAGATTACGCACACACACTGCAAAATACCAGTCTCAAGAAACAACATCTGTCCTAACCCCATGCCTGCTGGTTGTGAACCTGTGGTCTTCCAAGGGAGCACATGTACCATCTTAGCCAGAGGGGCCAGGCTGCACTCAGGATCTCATAGACAGTCTAGGACGCATGGCCCCGTGCAAGAGTGGCCTGGCTAACAGGTCAAAGAGAGGCGTTAAAGAACGGTCGGGAAAAGGGACCGGGCAGCCCAGATGGTACCTCAGGCTCCAAAAAGACGTTAATCAGAGGGCAGAACAATCTCATTTGCCAGAGAGGATTTCCTTGGAATAAAGGTAATCTTCAGGGTCAGAAAGGACCTTTTTGTGGGGTACGGAGAAGAGATGGAAGGAGGAACCCCACATAAACACATTGTCAGTGTTTTCACTAACAACCATTTCCGTGCCAGGGCACACTACTAGAGAAATTCGTCTGATATTTAGTCACCATCTCCACCTTCCTCTCTATATGGTTCTAGATTCAAAATCACACTGTATGCGCTGAAATGCCTCGGAGTACACCGAGCCTACCCCCTTACTGTGCAGGATCCATCCCTGACCTCCTCCTCTCGCAAGTGGCCTCACAGACAGCGCCTCTGGATCCAGATCCATATGCTCAGGCCGGCCAGGGCCCGGTCCCTGGAAGTCACACGTGCTGTACCCTCGACCCCACGCCGAAACAGCAAAGCCCCAGGGCAGACTACCTCCCTCTGAGCCACAGCGGTCCTCTCACCAGCACCACCCTCCCTCACTCCCCAGGGCCACCGGAGGCTGTGGACTGCCGACGAGGAGCGGCTCCACGCGGGGTCCCTAATGCACGCGCAGAGCAACTGAGGACCCCAAAGTGCAGCCGAAGCGCAGAAGGAGTGTGGCGGCTGCCGGGCCGGCCCCGAGGCCCCCCTCCCTCTCTACCTCCTGGAAGAGCTCCAGACTGTAGGTGTTGTCGTCGTCGGCGAAGAAGAGCACGCCGGGCTGCGCGCGCTGGTGCTGGTGGCGCTGGCGCAGCCAGGCGAGGCCGGCGTTGCGCTGCTCCGTGGCGCGCGGCAGCCCGGGCCGCTTGTAGCGCCGCGGCGTGGGCACGTGCAGGTGCGTGCTGGGCAGCCCGGCCCGCGCGAGGAAGCGGCTCACCAGCTCGCCGCGCGCCGCCGCG